GTCTGTGTGGAGATCAGGGTGGGAGGGGTAGGCTGAAGGAGCGTAAGGGGAGGGGTGCTGGAGTCAGACAGAGTTTCCAGCTGCTCTTGCTCCTGGACTAGGCCAGTGGGGACCAGAAGGATTGGGGTTCAGCTGTGAGCCAGCAGGGCCGGAGATCAGGGTGGGAGGGGTAGGCTGAAGGAGCGTAAGGGGAGGGGTGCTGGAGTCAGACAGAGTTTCCAGCTGCTCTTGCTCCTGGACTAGGCCAGTGGGGACCAGAAGGATTGGGGTTCAGCTGTGAGCCAGCAGGGCCAGGTGCTCAGAGGCTGCAGTGCTGCCCTCTTTGGGAGGGCAGGGGGTCCCCCACCCCGATCAGAGCCCCCTTACCTGCAGGAAGTGCTGCTCCCCCCCCTGGAGCTGGCCAGCAGTCAGTGCAGGAGCTGGGGGGGCCATGTCCCCCCCAGCCACGGCGCTCAGCTCCTGCACCCAGTCCTCCAGCGTGGGGCCCACGGCCTGGAACAGCCCCGTGAAGGGTGGGGACGGGGCCCTGCGAGGAGGGGTAGGGTGAGAGGCAGGCAGCAGCAGAGCATTGGGAGAGGGTCCCAGCAGCCCCTGGCCAGACCCTCTGTTACCTCCTTTCGCCCCAGTTCTACCCCCAAACGCCGGCCCCACAGAGCCCCGTGCCCATGGCTGTCTGGACCCTGGCTCAGAGTGTGTCCAAGCAGTTGGGGACATTGGGCTGGGGGGGGATGTGCCCCACGGCCTGTCCCCATCCCTCCCAGCCCCCAAGCCCTGCCCCACAGCTGGCCCCACCCTCCTGCCTCCCCCAGTCCCTCACCTCTCTGTCTTTACCTGCTGGGGGCGCTCAGGAGCCCTCTGCTTTGCAGCTCCTCAGGGCTCGCTTGCCCCTCGCCTGCCTGCCCTGGGGGGATGATACAAGACTCAGTCCTGGCAGTAGGGAGCTGGGGAGCATGTGGGGCAGGGTGGGGGGCTGCTGTGGGCATGTGCCAAGGAGCTGGCCCGGTTCCCTGGTGCAGACCCAGCCCGGACACTAAGGCTAGGTCTACACTTGCAGCTTCTTGCATGAGAAATATGCAAATGAGGTTAAGCGTGGAATATCGCCGAGCCTCATTTGCATCCCTAATGAGCCTCCATTTTTGCAGAAGAGGCTCTTGCGCCAGAAGGAGCTGTCTACACTGCCCCTTCTTACGCAAGAAAACCCCTCTTGTGCAAGAAGGGGCAGTGTAGTCAGCTCCTTCTGGCGCAAAAGCCTCTTCTACAAAAATGGAGGCTCGTTAGGTATGCAAATGAGGCTTGGTGATATTCCACGCTTAGCCTCATTTGCATATTTCTCGTGGAAGAAGACGTGAGTGTAGACATAGTCTAAGGGAGGCAGCCGGCTCCTGGAAGAACTCTGTACCCCACGCAGTGCTGAGGAGGGACGGCAGGTGCCAGGCTGTAGCCGGGGGAATTGGGGAGCCCATGCTAAGTGTGGAGGGGGGAACTGGGTTCTCCCAGGAATGTGAGTGGGTCCCCCTATGTCCCTGTGCGGGCACAGAGCTGGGATGTGGGGATCCAGGGATGGGGAGGTGGGGTATGGGTGGTCCCAGTTGGGAGTCCCTGACATGGCCATAGCAGGGGAGGTGAGGGACTGGGGGGGGGCCTTTGCTGTGTCCTGGGTAGGGAGGTGGGGGTCCCAGGCATGGCTGAGATGGAGGATGGGAGACCTGGCAGGATGTGGGGTCCCTGGCATGGTTGAGGTGGGGGATTGGATATCTGGCAGGATGTGGGGTCCCTGGCATGGTTGAGGTGGGGGATTGGATATCTGGCGGGATGGGGGTCCCAGGCATGGCTCGGGTGGGGAAGGCGCAGGTGGGAGGTCCAGAGGAGCAGGGGAGGTGGGGGTGGCAGATCTGGGAGGCAGGTACCTGCTGTGGCCCGGCGTGCCCGGGCGGGGAAGAGGTGCCCGTAGAGCTGCTCCATGAAGCGGGGCAGGGTGTGGGTGAAGAAGGTGAAGTCCACCTGGTTTCGGAAGAAGTCCTCGGCGCGGCGCAGGAAATCCAGCAGCGTCTGGGCGTAGGAGCGCAGCTCTGGGACCGGAGGGGAGGGGGACAGGATGCTGGCCAGTGCCCCCAGAGTCAGCGCCACATGGCAGCTGGCACGGCCCTGACTCAGCAAGGCCCATGTGCCTTTAGCTCAGCGGCCTGGGCCTGGCGGGCCCTGGGCCCTTGCTCGGCCCCTCCAGCATGTTATCAGCTTTCCCCCCTTCCCTCCTCCGTTAGCTCGAGGGGCAGGCAGGCCCAGCCCCAAGGACCTCAACCTCACTCCCGGAGCAGACCCCCACCCTGCTCTGCTCCCCCCGGTCTTTCCCTCAGGCAGCCCCGTCTGCTGGGGGGGGAACAGAGGGGGGCTCTGCACACAGGCATAAGCCCGAGGCCCAAAGCGTGCTCAGGGTCAGAGCCCCCAGCTCACGCCAAGAGCTCACCGTGTGTCCCGGGCCCCCCAGGGCCGCGCCACTCACCGCATCTCTGCCTCTCCACCCTGCAGGTCTCCTCGGCGACGCGGGCGCAGGCAGCCTGGCCCAGGGGCGGGGCGCACGACTGGCCGTAGAAGGAGCACAGGCTGGCGAGCTCTGCCCGCTGGCGCTCGCCGGGCAGCTGGGACGCGGCCAGCAGCTCAAGGCAGGTGGGCTCTCGGCTGGCGGGCGATCCTGGGAGGGCCGGGGGCGCGGTGTGAGGGATGGGAAAAGGACCACAGCGCAGGTGCTGTCCCAGCCATCCCCCAACAAAGCCTGACTCCTATTGGCTCAGTTCCTCCCCCGGTGCTGCCATCCGGGCCCCCTTTCACCCTGGCTGATCCAGTGCCTGGTCCCAGCCCGCCAGTGCCTGGGCCATGCCCGACTCCCAGCCCACAGCCCCGAGGTTCATGCCGCTCTGCCCTGGCCCGTGCCCTCCACGGCCCCTGCTGCCAAGACAGCCGAGGCACTCACGGTCCATCTGGTGGCGGATCCAGTCGGCGAAGGCCGTCACGCGGGTGTACACGCCTGGCTTGCCCTGCTCCCCGCAGCCGTCCCCCCAGGACGTGATGCCGTACAGCACGGACTGCAGCGAGCCGGGCTCCCGGCACGTCAGGGGCCCGCCGGAATCTCCCTGCAGGGGAAGCAGCCCCAGTTTGGCACAAAACAGGGGCCAGCTCTAAGGTCCCCCGGGAAGAATGTGGCCTAGGAAGCCACCCTCCAACTGGCCCATCTTGCCATTGACCCCTTTGGGCAGAGAATATAAGAACTGCCAGACTGGGTGAGACCAAAGCTTCATCCGACCCAGTGTCCTGTCTTCCAACAGTGGCCAATGCCAGGCGCCCCAGAGGGAATGAACCCAACAGGGAATCATCAAGTGATCCCTTTTCTATCCTCCGTTCCCAGCTTCTGACAAACAGAGACTAGGGACACCATTCCTACCCATCCTGGCTAATAGCCACTGACGGACCTAACCTCCATGAATCTATCTAGCTCTTTTTTGAACCCTGTTAAAATCCTGGCCTTCACAACCTCCTCTGGCAAGGAGTTCCACAGGTTGTGTGAAGAACGACTTTCTTTTGTTTGTTTTAAACCTTACCCATTGATTTCATTTGGTGACCCCTAGTTCTTATGTTATGGGAACAAGTAAATAACTTTTCCTTATTCATTTTTTTCACACCACTCATGATTTTATAGGCCTCTATCATATCCCCCCTTAGTCTGCTCTTTTCTAAACAAAAAAGTCCCAGTCTTAATCTCTCTTCACGTGGGACCCATTCCAACCCCCTACTTTTTGTTATCCTTTCTGAACTTTCTCCAAAGCTGTCTTTTTTGAGATGAGGTGGATACGCAATATTCAAGATGTGGGCATACCATAGATTTATTAGAGGCAATCACATGTTCTCTGTCTTATTCTCTGTCCCCTTTTTAATGATTCCCAACATGCGGTTTGCTTTTTGGACTGCTGCTGCCCATTGAGTGGGTATTTTCAGAGAACTATCCACAATGACTCCAAAAATCTCTCTCTCAAGTGGTAATAGCTAATTTCGTCCCCATCATTTCGTACGTATGGTTGGGATTATGGTTTTCCAATGTGCATTATTTTGCATTTATCAACATTAAAATTCATTTCCCATTTCGTTGCCCAGTCTCCTAGTTTTGTCAGATCCTTTTGAAGCTCCTCACGGTCTGTTTTGGACTGAACTATCTTGAGCAATTTCATATCATCGGCAAATGTTGCCACCTCGCTGTTTACCCCTTTCTCTGGATCATTTATGAATATGCTGAAGAGGGTTAGAGAGTAAACTGAGTCACAGAGATGGGCAGGCCCCCCTCAGCAGCTGAGCTGGCGATAGGACCCTGGAGCCCTGGGTCCCAGCCGCCCCTTGACTTACGTGCAGTCCACCCCCAGCTTTCTACCACGCCAGGTTGCTTCTCAATGATCAGGATGCAGGGAGCTCCCTGCTGGCTCCCCCTCCCCCCACCCATGCCTGGCACTGCTACTAGGCTGTGCCTGGGGATTCCAGGTTGCTGTGTGCCAGGGCAGTGGCTCTGCCCTCCAGTGACTGCAGCGTCACTGCTGGCCAGGCACCGGGCGGCCCCGGCAGCGTCCCTGCTGCCCAGGCACTGGCTGCTCCGTGGCAGCTGCCCATGACTCCATGGGGGGGCACTCCCTCTTCCCCCCCCTCCCGCTCTCCCAGCCATTACCTGGCAGGAATCGATGCCACCAGCCAAGTAACCAGCACAGAACATGGCGTTGGTGAGCAGGTCCTTGCCCAGGGCTCTGTGGCAGGCATCCTGGCTCAGCAGGGGCACTCGCGCCTCCCTCACCACCTCGGCCGACGGCCCCTCTGCCAGGGCCAAGAGCGAGTCACAGGCAGCCCCCCCACCTGGGGCCCAAGCCACGCTGGCCAGACAGATAGGTGCCATCACTGGCCCATCTGCAGCCCGATGGGGGCTCTGCCGGGGGGCATGAGGGCAGCCAGCCTGGCTGCTGGGTTAACTGAGATCCTGGGTGCTCCATGCTGGGCTCGGGGAGATGCCTGAGTAGCTGGGGCCCACTGGCCTGCAGGGGATGCTGCTCCGGCAGGAAAAGTGCCCGGACCAACCCGCACAGCCCCGAGAAGGGACCCACTCGTCAGGGGCGTTGGGGATTGCTGGGCAGCCCTGCCCCCCACCTACCTTGGTAGAGGGAGCCCCAGCCGGCGATGTAGCAGGGCGTCCCTGGGCCAGGCTCCTGGGGGCCCTCGGGCAGGCACACCGGGCTCAGCCACGCGGAAGGAGCCACTGGGTGGGCCAGCTCCAGCAGCGCGCCGGCGC